TGTCCCACATTGGAATCGCGTATTGAATTGGTGTGCTACATTTCCCACCCTGTTCCTAAAGCCGTGTGCATGCTACCCAAGGATGGTATGACCTTCTTAATATTAACCGCATTGCATTGCAGCAATTTTACGACTGCGACAAAAACGTGCTGTTTCTGAACATCCCCCTTCCTTTCCACTCGCCAGATCCGCCCCTATCCGAGGAATTCTCAAGATGCGTTTTCACTGGTGACAGCAGCAAATAATGTCTCTGTTCCTTCAGCAGATTCCTGTCATCTTTGAAGCTGGACGGACATACACAAGTCATCATCGCCCACATTGAAACGATCTGTGCCCCATTTGCTTGCGTCATTACTTCCGTTCTGGTCGGGAGTTCAGTAAAATCTAGACATCAGGTTTAGCTCTTTAGTTTGATCATGTTTCGGTCGCTGGCAAGCGCTTGCTCGTTCCCAGTTTCCCAGGGGAAGCCAGGCAGTTTAGGTGGGCGTTGTTTTAAATATAACCATTCCGGTGAGCACTCATTACCGTGCCCGTATCCCCTGTTGCCTGTGAAAGGAGGGAGGGGGCCTGAAGCTATGCACCTTTGGGTTTTCAGAAAGTGGGTCAATTTATAAAGGAACTGTTTCTAGATAGGAACTTTAATGCGCAGTTCCTTCCGTTATTCGTGCTCTTGGCCCCGTTGTGTGAGTCCTGGGTTCCGGTGCCTGCTGAAAAGCTGTGGAGAAACTACGTGTTCATCCTGTGTTGGTGTGTGCTACTTGTTAACAAGTTATTAAAATTGGCACATCTTCCCTCCCATCATACGACTACCCACAATAATCGCATCGTTGCCAGAAAATGGCGACACGCCCTTTGTTGGTTCGTATTTATCATTCAATTTTATTATGCCTCAACTTCAATAGATGTTATGAAACCTGTTATCGACAACGGGAAGGCGCCTTCTGCACATACTTCATTGCTATACCGACACGAATCTTTCCAGTGTTGATTCAGCAGCGCGATGTCAGTTATGCAGCGTTACTCCACCGCATTGTGGACAGATTCTTTAGGGGCAAATTTGCCAAGTAACAATGAATTTTCCCAAAAGATGTAAAATCCAAAATCTTATTGACAAAAGAAATTGAAAAAGGGGACATTCTGACAGAACATTCTCGAGACACACAATTAGATAGGCAGACCTAAAATGCCGACTGAAACTCTGTAGACGACCCTACAGGCAAAGCTGGTTTCTGTCTGTCTGGGCTGATGAACCGCTCAACCCGGTTTAATTATAGGTCATCGAGACGACAGGTTTTTGAGATTGATCTTCGGCTTCTGCTGTATTGTGTAGACGGTCCTGGAGGACGATCGCGGTCCGCTGCCTCTGGGACTCTCGGCGTCGTGACCTAGTGTCATAGCGATACACTGGTAGTTCAGTATGGCGCATTTCGCTCGGCAACCTGGGTATGATAATGATTTCCAGTCAGTATAGTTTGTAGAGATATTATTTCTGTAATGCCGCGTCTGTGCTATTTTTTGTTTCACAGGTTGCCGACTATGAGCCGCCACCCATGCTGTTCAGCTTATGCAGAGTTAGGACTACAGACAGCGGGAAGCGCTGCAAAGTAACTTCGGATGGTCGGTGTTTCCCTTTGTCTCTATATAGTGACCATTGATTCGAGGTCTATAAGCACTTTGTTCAGTTTGATGACGACTTTCGCATGCTTTAGGACACTTCCACATGTAGCACCAGAAATGCAGATGACCAGACAGATGTTGACTTCGCAATTAAGTGTATAGTATAGATGTTAACGAGTTGGAGAATTAAGATAAAGAAATTTCAAAACAAGCGGTTTTGTGCATTTGTTGTTATTGGCACTTTTACTCTACTTGTATTCATGATTAACTTTGCAGGAAATTTACTTCAATAATTTTATTTAATGTAAGTTTATAAGTACATGTAGTTGCATGATTTATGTGCATGCAGTAACCTACAAAAGCGGTCCAGGTGGTAAAGGCATATACCTGTGATGTGTCAACTTGAATTTCATCCATAATTAATCTCTCCAAGAAGACACATTGTAAATCTACTGAGTGTTGTGAGACAATACCACTGTAGGTCTATTTTTGTACCAAGCGCATCTAATTTGAAAGTCTGTGAAATTCAAAATTGGGAAATGTAATAGGTTGTCATAGTTCCGGGACATCTTGCACAGTAGGCCATTTCACACACCTCCCCCAATTTCGAATCAACACCAAACCAGTGTTCGGCGAACGGTCTCTCTTCAATGGCACACAAGCCTTCTCATCACCCAATTCCCATAGAGCATGCAACTTCCACACATCTTATGTAAATACGGTGACCTCCGCAGTGACCTTTTCGGTCAAGTGTCAATGGGCCACCTGTATCAGACGAGTCCATTTTATAGGCATACGTCAGGAATTTATTGTAAATAATTACATTATATGACACCTGTTTTAGAGTCACAAGGTTGAATTGCGCCAGTGGGAACTGAGAGGAACTTAAGCGCTGAGGAGACAGCTAGACTTGTAACAGTCTTTTCCAAGGTTGTCTTGGCGAGTCTTGTACATGTATCTTGTTGAATGCAGACGAACTTGTCGATGAACGTGTATTCGTCATCCGATATTATTGTGGCCTCAACTTGAGAAATCAAAACAGTGAAAGACTATAAGAAAGAAGAGTTATGATTATTGTTTTGATTACAACCTGCGGAGACTCGGAAACTGCGTGTTGGTAAAGTGTAGGGAGTAAAAGTTGAGTGTTCCTGCTAGATTTATGTAGGCCTCTAAAACTGTATCGAAAGCTTGAACGAAACATTTAGTTCAACTGATAACTCACTTCGTGAAAAACTATGGGATATGTTGTAGAGCTATGACGAGCGACTATTTAAAAATATATTACTTGTCAATTGTTTGCCTGAAAATATTTCCGTATCATGATATAACGAGTGACTTTCGGAGCAACATCATCGTTGAGGGATTAACCATCACATTTCCACCGATCCGCAGTACAGCTTATAATGTAAAAAAAATGGTTCAGTAGCTTTTCCACGTGGTTTTGGTCCAGTAATAACCTGCCACAAGGCCTTTGGACAACCCCTCCCAATTAAACTGGGCGCACCGCACAGGCTATATAACGCCCCCGCTGGTGGAAGTGCGTGAGATGCGAAAAAACGACGGGAGGGTAGTGCGGCAAGCAGAGATGGGGGGGGGGGGGGGGCTTTAAGGGNGGGAGGGTAGTGCGGCAAGCAGAGATGGGGGGGGGGGGGAGGCGGACTTCAAGTGTGTCAGTAGTATGTCCTTCATGTGGGGGTGCTGGTGTCTGGGCAGGGGTATGCGTGAGGGGTTTTTCTGAGAAATCACGTTGTATTTGAAATAGTCATTTTAAAGTAAACGCAGGCCATGGCTCATTGGGGACCCTTTTTTAATTTTTCATCATACTATTTGTCCCCTTTTCCACCGCTTGCATTTGAGTCATCAGCAGTAGCTGCGGCTGTCGCACTCATATGATTTGTGGTGCAATCTGATGTCCTAGTAGAGAAAGTGATATTTTTGGCGATTTGGATCGATGTCTATTGAAATTAGGGATTGGATGCACGAGGGGAATGACCTTCGAGCGAAGGAAAAAAAAAGGGATTATACATGTACGGTCACACAAGTAAATGATGCCTGTGGCCTAATTGCATTGCAATTCGAAAATACTTACGATCCACATTTGAAAGGTTCAACATTTTTATGGTCGATTTTGTTTCTTTTGAGAACGTGTTACATGTAATGGGAACCGAGTCTCAGAGAATTGTAGCGGGCGGACTTTTTATGAATTGATTCGGTAAACTCATTCACAACATTCACGACTGACTTGATTTATTTGATGCACAAACATGTCATAAATTTGTTTATGCATTAACACATAAACACACATATTTCACATGTTTTCTTTTACACCGTCGCTGTGTAGACCTTCAAATGACCTCTTCAAATTTGTCGAATTTTGAAGTGGGAGGGAAAACACGCCAACTACCGGGCCACTGTGTTGTTAACCTTCTGTCACAGGCGCACGCTTTGTCAGCAACCTTTCGCCCAGCTTTGTTTTAAACGTCGCCCGGATTGTTTTTGCTCTCGCACCCCTTGACCAAAGGCTAGCAATAGGGACTCCCTGGCCTGATGCAGCTGGCCGTTGATTTCCCATGACGTCATCTGGGATGCAATTTGAAATGTTGATACCCAAGGCCAATACCGAATGTCATAGAGGCTGTTGGAGAGACCTCGAGGCGTCAGGCAGGTTTTTGACTCCATTGTATACCTTGATTGATGGTACAGATACGGCCCACTTCAACCCGTTCGACTCGAAAATGAAACTTGGCAGAAATTCACCTGACCATGAACTACTTTTTTGTAGGTAGGTTGCATCCGCGCAGATATTCAACTCTCAGGAACACGTGTCGGATGTGAGACGTATACATGCGTTTCAACTCTGATGAAAAAAATACCCTTTACCATTGTCTTAGCAATTTCCGGAGGCAAAACATTCCCAAAATAGACTGCAAGTAGTTTATCGACAAGTTAAGTAGAGTCTGGTTACACCTCACGATGAATTCTTGTTGAAGGCTGGAGTAACGCGAGATTGGTGCTATGCGCGATGCGTTCAGCAGTCGAGATTTGACTGGTCCCTTTCCCAGTAATTTCTGCACTCGTCCCAGTCTACCAGCGAGATTAAAATGCAGACGACATTTTGTGTTCTTGACGGGCATTTAAATCTAATTATAGAAACCACTCTGGTGGCTGATGGTTTATAGGATTATTGTTCAATTTACTTTAACAAATTTGAATTTTCAGACATACAGAATGAACAAAAAATGAAAACGACGAAACAAAAACTAAGGCTCTATTTTGGGTAATTTGTGTGTTTCGGCTTACTTAACTTTTTGTTGGTGCGGTGACGTAATCAGTCCCCAACTTTCTTGAGCCAATGAGCAACCGGAGTTTAATTCTCAGCTGCAGCCATGTTTTGAAAATCGTTGCTAGTTCGACTTCTGCTGTGCTTTGCTCAGCTAAATTCCACTTGAAGACAAAAGGGGTGAGTGTAAAGGTATTGTTTAATCTGCAGTTATCTGCTAACGTGGTGGAAGTTAACATGATGTTGAGCTGGAGTCTTCAACCCAAAAAGGTCTAACAGTTTTTAGTCTAACGTGTTACATTCAGCGTGCTCCGACATGTCAGAGACGGCAATATTCGCCGCAGCCGTACCATCATGACCGTGTGTGCACGTGCGTTAGGTTAGTCGACGGTGTTAATGTATCCATTTTAACCGTGACACTATTTCACTGAAACAAGTTTCCTTTTTTTACCGATTTCGAAAAGCTATTATGTTTCTCGTACATTCCGAAAATATTTTCTGGCCTCAGTTGTGAATACAGTTTAAATAGGCCCAGGCCTACTCTGATGACTGGCTGAGTGTCCATTGGCGTTAATGCCAATGACCGATTCAGTATAAAATTCGAAAAAGACGAATACTAAATGCTCCACAGTGGAGCTAGCCCAGGCCTAAATATTTCTAAACTCTGAAACCTTTCACTGCCCCCATTTTACACACATCTGGTATTTTTTATTTTTATTAAGGCCTAGGCCTAGCTGTCAAAAGAAATTTAACACTTTGTACATGTAGGCCTAGGCCCTACCTATTTTTTAATTTCCCACAAGAATCATGTGCGCATCCAAGTTTGTAGTAAACTGGGGAAAAAAGCCTAACCATGTTTGCCACAAAAAGGTTGGGGAGATTAATATTGCATGCCAATTTTTTTTAGTACAAGTATAGCCTACATATACAAAGTACATATACATGTACAGTATGTAGGACCTAGGTTGTATTCTTCTGCTTCAACAGCTGCCACCCCCATTCCTCCCATGGATTTAATGGTAACTCCTGCCACACAAAGGAGGGGTAAATTGTAATAAATATTCACATTCTTGTCACAACTGTTGTAACTCTCAGCAAAGATGATAATCTTTTTGATCTGGCATAACAAAGGGCTAGAACTAGAAGCAGGCCCCAAGCGCTATTCCCTCACATTAGGTGAAGGACTTAGACTTATAAATGCTGTACTCTAGTTTTGTTGGCAGTCTTACTCAACTTAGCAAGAATGCTCAGTGTGTGGGTTCTGCACTCGAAGTCCTACCCCGAGCTGAACAAAATCAAAGCTTCAGCATATATGTAATTGACCAACATGTCTCCATTATTCAAGGGAATGTTGTCAAATGTATGGTACATGTACATCCCCCTCCTCCCCTCCAGCAACCTGATAGATTAAGGTCAAAGGCGAGGGATTACTCACACTATTGTCTCTGATGCCCAGGGCAGGGTTGGGTACCTTTGTCATGTTCAGGTTGGCCAATGGTCTTGGCTTAGTAGGTAGATCGGTGTTGGGATAAGCACTCTGTGTACCCAACATAAGTTACATGTCCAGCTCCTAAACTATAGACCTTCGTTCACCAGAGGGAGAGTGTTGGTTATCAGACCCTTGCTATGTGGTTGGATAAGCAGTTTGTCACATGTACCAATATTACAAATAATTCTGCCCCAAATCTTCTGAGCTAGATTACAGAGATCATGTTCCCCCTTTGGTGACACAGTTCGGTTTAATCTGAGCATTAAGTAAAATGAAAGAAATGAGGACATAGGGAGTTGGACAAGGTTCTGTATTGAAGGGTCTCTGACATTACTGTCTACATTTCGGGTGTTTAATACATTCATCAGAAAAATGTAACATCATGCATGGTCAATGGATTGTTTTATTGTAACAATTACAGAATTATTTTTTGCTTTTGTTACATGTTGCTGAAGTACTTCAAACAAATTCAACCCACTTTTTGTGTTGATGTAAAATTCATTTCCTTGAAAATGTAAAGTTGCATTGTTAGCTACAGTTTACTGCAGATGAGTCTCTTACTTTGGTTTGATTGAGTGAGGATGGAATCTAAAACCAATTTGGAAATGATTATTTTTTGTTTATCCCAAATTGTCAGGTGGGGAACAACCTGAACTTTGCATGCAAAGGTCAAGCTTCCAGGATCCTCACACAGACTGAGACTGGAAACAGTAATGATGATTGAGCAGGGTTGCAGCCAAACCACAGAATGTGATACCTTGTCTGACTACCATGTCAACATACATGTACATAAATGCACATGTACAAAGCCAACTTTTTCGTGTCTTAGTTGGCTGATGCAGAATTCTGGGAACACCCGTCTCAAGGTTTGTAACATTCTCCTCCTCGCATGTCTTACTTTAATCTTTCAGATACACACAGCTTGCATTACATCCTGAATTGGACAAATCCAAGTAAATCTACTGCAGTCTGCAGATATGCAGTATCTGTAAATTGCCGCGCCAATCAGCATTGTCAGTTAAGGCCAAATTCGTTGAACTCCGCTAGAGATTCATTCAAGGCAAGCTTTTTACTTGGTTTTGTTTGATGAGGCAGAAAATTATGAAAGAAGTTTGGTTCAGTCTTTACCAACTGTTATCAATATCCCTGCTTTATGTAATGATTCACAGAATGTCTTTCATTGAAGCATTCTTTGAACAAGTGTACACAGTATTCATGTACATCCAAATCCTTTCATTACATCACTGTAGTCTGTAAAGGTTAACAAGAAATCAGGCCATCCTGTGCTTTCACTTTTTGTCATGTTGAATGTAGGTTGATGCAGTAAAAAAACCTAGCACTAGTCTATAATCAGTCAATTTCACACTGTCATACACTACAGCAGATAATGGCAACTGCTTTTCAGGTTGCACCGTATAGAGTTTGTGCACCCTCAGTGGAGATTGAGCTACAACAGTTCTGTCAATGCCAATTTCATAAATCACATCCCAGGTCTTGTAACCACTGAATTTCAGTTTCCGATATCAGTGGTACTCAATCCATATAAGATTGTGATCAAGTGTCCAGAGACATGTGCCATTTCCCAGGGTGTTGTTACACCGCAGCCCTGACTTCTGTAGTCTTCTCTAAATATTGTTTGAATTGCACACTGCCAATGTTTGACCCCAGCCTTGCATTCCCCTACATTTGCTTTTGGTTGGCTTCTATTCTTCCCTTGTCACTTGGGATCCCAGATAGGCCCTGCATTAGAAAACTGATACAGGAGACTTCCAAAGCGCATACTTGTTCACCATGATTGCCACTTTGTATCCATGCCTGTTTGGTAACACCTGAGACATTGGTCCTAGTGTACTGTAGTGTCTGCTGTGTGTATTACTTCAGGCATTCTCACACTGCAGAGAGATATTATGTTGAGGCCTGCACCATTGGCTGACTGCCTGAAGTACCTGCACAGGATTTGTTTTGTCTCTCTCCATCTGAGTCATATTCATATTGAAATGAAGTTCTGGATTCTATTGTGCCGGATGGAGTGCTCCCAGTACAAATAGAGAAAAAGTTTGCGGTTGAATAGAAGTGCCCTGGTATATTATATTTTTGTGTTTGTGTAGGGATTGTGTGTTCAGGTCGGACTTCCTGTTTGTAGAATGGTCTGTTTACAAGGTCCCAGTCGGTAAGTAGTTTATTCTGGTTTTGTGTAGTCATTCAGAAAATCTGAGCAGCATAATGGCATTGGACTGAATATAACAGGCGCTGGTGCAATAACGTCATCTCACCTCTTACAGTATAGTGTTGACCAGTGTGGAGCAATTTGGCACCGGAGAGAGAAATCATGGAAATGGAAGGGGAAGAGAGTGATGGAAATTGCCTGGATTACTGGCACATTAAAGGGGGTGGAGTTTGCAAGCAAGATGATGTCAGAAAGGCTTGTTATGATGTCTGAATAATTAATGTCACTGAAGTTACATCACTGTGTTGATGAGTCAGACCAAACCTGTGGAAAGGTGCAGTGATGGTATTTGCACAAGAGTATGTTTATTTTTCCTGTGTGCATTATGAGTTGTAGCAGTTGTACAGTCTCATCTCAGTATGCCCCTTTAAGTTTTAACCCATTGAACCCAGGTTGGCTCGGACTAAAATGGATTTATTTGCTTAACACCTTTCAGGCATGTTTGACAGGAGACTGAGGTGGTTGAAGTAAGACCCTTTTTCCTTTGTGTATCCATGAAGACAGCAAAAGGTGCCCAAGTATACTACGTATTTTGCCAGTGCCACACAAAAAAATCATCTATTAAATCTTTTTGGTTGTTTCATGTTTGGAAAAAAAATGGAACAGTCTGTATTTGTGACGTTCACAGCCATCAAACTGTGAAGATTCTTTTATGATTTTCTTTTATCATCTCATTGTTAATAGTTGGTTTTTGACCATTATTTTGAAAATATCTCCCCTCTGATCCTCCCCCAAAATTCTTCCACATCGCTTATTCATAAGAGCTTATGAGGAATGATGTGAAGCATTAGGCAATGGAAAGTTATGAAATCAGCAAACTAACTTCCTTGGGCTGATTTTTTGGGTTTTCTTTAGCCAAATGATGCCAGTTTCTTTTTTGATGTGAAACGACTAGACCACTCGAGGAAGACTAAGTCTTGTTTTCATGTCTGGCTGATTTTTCTGCATCAGTAGTGCAGTCAGCGTGCTTTTGGTGAATGTTGTTCTTGGGTTCCAGGTGTGCCTATGGATGATTGCCCCAATTCAATGCTTTTGACTTTTGGGGGAAGGACAAATAAATAAATCGGCTTAAAACTTATTTTGGAAAGGGCACTTGGCAGGAGGTATTTCCTTCACTCGACAACAAATCGTGGTTTTCAAATCTTTGTTGAGTGGGTATATGCCTACAGACTTGTAGGCTGTTTTAAAACTGTTGGTCACATTCCTTTATACTCTCTATAGTAATAGCCTAATTTCAAGCAATATGTCATTGAAAAAACATGTCTCTGTGGCACACAAGTGTTCAATCATGTCTGTTCTTCATGGTTTAGATTGGAGAAAACAATTTTATAGACTTGCACTGTCCCCATATCCAGTCTTTTTTTGTTACATATCTGTTAATACCCTTTCGGCAAAAACGTTGTCCTATATTGTGGGCAATGGAGTCAGCTGAAGTGTTTTGTCTTGTTCTTTGTAGGTGTGTACAACACATCAACACCACATTGTAATTACGACACACTCTGGAAATGAACCCTCCCGACCCTGCCCAAGTGATTTTTATTAATGCATTCCCTGCGTCTCTGCGCAGGATGCCAAGTAAGACTTTTAATGATTAATTAAAGCTAAAAAAATAGAAGGGGGGGGGGACATTGTGAGACATGCCAGAAGAGCATTGCATGTTTTTCTACAACTTATTTGTGGAGTGCATTTTGTGCTGGGGTCACAACAAATATGTTGCAGGCAAATGGGCAGAGTTGTCAACTTCATGTGTGACAGTGAATGCCATTGGAAGAGTGCAAAAAAGCTGAAGTTTTCCTGTGGTTTTGCCAAAGCTTTAGCTTTGATTGTTTTTTTTCCTGCCATGTACTTCAGAGTTCCATAATAATGGGAAATTGAGAAAATGAAGCTGAAACCACAAAGCACTCCTGACAGCTTTGGCTCTGATGTTTGACATAAGTAGGGTAGAGGAAGGATTCATCATACATCTGAAGAGGGGGAGAATGACATGGAGTGAAAGGAGGCTGGGGGAGAGGTAGTTGTTAAATGCAGTCAGTCAACCCAACAATAGGCAGTATATGAATTGGCTCCATCCCCACGTTTGTTTTTGTTGCATGCCCATAATGTAAACTCCCCAGCTTTTTCCCTTTTGTCATGCTGGAATGACACTGAGTAGCACAGGCTCCAGCAACTTCAAGGCATTTTAATACAGAGGTGTGGGGCCCCTGTTAATGTCAACTGGCGGATGGTAATATATTTTCAAAAGCCTGGCGCCAAGGGCACATGGTTTGGCCTTTGTGGTAGTAGGTGATGGCACATCTTTCAAAATGTTTAGAAGTTTCTGCAAGTTGGACCATGAGTTCTTGCATTTTGAATGGCATTGCCTTTTTGAAGGAGACAATGGCTGGTCCCCTAAAGATTGGCAGCGGCTCACTAAAGTGCCCAGGCTCATAGATACACCTAGAGTTGTTTCTCTCTTTAAAATTGCTTTAGGAAAGAGGAAGTAGGAAGAGAAAATAAACATGTAATAAGTCAGTCAAATGTAGTCTTCATGTCCAGTATTTGTATAGTTTTGGGCAGTCCTAGAGGGGAAGAACACATGTTTTGAGCATTCTGAAAATGTTGCCAAAATTGTTATTTTTCTTTGATTTTGATATCTGTAACTAGAACTTGTAACAGATTTAGATGTCTACCAGTGGCTTCTGAAAGGGTAAAGTTCAAGTTGATAAAGAATCCCATTTTCACGTGATATTTGGTATGCGGCATACGGTACATTTATCAGACAGGAAGCCTGGTATGAGCAAACCACCACACTCATGTTACCTGCCACCGGGCCCAGCGGTGCACCTGACAAAGTGACCCAGGTGGAATTCTTGATCGCTAATACCCCTAAACAAAATAAAGAACAGGGCAATTTGATATTATTTGTCATATTTAGGAAACCATATATCTTGGCCAAGATATCGCAGACCCTGACGCTTCCCGATCCCACCGCCACCACCACCACCGCTGCTGCCAACAACCAACCAACTGGGGTTGTTGCGCTGACAACCCTGGGCCAGCACAAATCAGTCACTGCACCACATGGTGGGGGCATGTGGCCAAGGCTGGGAAACCAGGGACGGTGTGATCTTTTCCCCCAATAAAATAAAGGAGTGACCCAATTTTGTCTCACACTTGTATTCTGTCCTCTCACAGTGGGTCAAGTAATTCAATTTGGTCCCAAACTTTTTGAGAACAGCTGGACAGAAAGAAGTTGAAAAGACTGCAAGACTGTCTTTTGTTAAGTCACTCACTAAAATGTATTTGTTTGCACATTGTCTGGAGGATACATGCAGGTGTTAGCAGTGTCAAACTTACACCTCATTATTATTCCATTATGACTTGCAGGAAGACAAATTGGCATCACAAAGCAGCATTGAATAGTTCTTGATAAATGCATAGAGCTAGCTCCGTGATAAATGTAAACAGATATAAATTCTCTTCACCTTTTTTCAAACTATTCCGAAAAAAAAAAACAGTTCCACTTGTTCCACCAGCTTGCGTGCACATGTATACCAGGTGATCAACAACACAAGTGTGACACAAAGATACATGTTCAAAGCAAAAGTTAGAATTGATCATGTTCACTGTGGCTGCATTTAGTTGTAATATGTAACTTTTTTTGCATCCCTGTCTTTGAGCTACATTTAACGACACAGCTTTTGAAGTTACAAGAAAATGCTTTAAATGTCAGGGTTCCATACTTTTGGCAGTTTGGAATCAGCAAAGTGGACTGATTGTGAACCAGTTTTAGTGGGTTTGTAGGAAAGAATTTATATAAATTATTGGCATTACCAGGGCAGCTCTTCCACCAGGGCAAACATCTTTGTAGATTTCATTAAAGAGATTCACAGCAGGAAGGTTTGCTCATTGTGAGTAAAGCGTTTTTTCAACCATTTTCCATTCACTGTGCGGTATTATTACCACATTGTTGCAGATTGAGCACCTTGTCTACTTTTTTGGAGCCTATTATGATTATTATTTGGACTGTTATACATATTAGAATATTGCTGGTAGATTTTTCTGGTTCAAAACGACTCTGCAGTTAATCATGCCAGCTGGGATCAGGGTAAAGATCAGTGGTTACAGAAGTGCAGTGGGCAAACAAACAACAACCACAGTGTCTGCTGTGTGAAAACACAAGGTTCCGGAAATGTGGCTTAATAGGATCATCTCAAAGTTCATTTTTTTTTCAGGCCCTATCCAATGAATTTATGAAGTAGGATTGCATGCACTTGCAGTTTCATAGTCGCACGGATGGAAACACAATTCATTTGAGCTTGGTTTCCCAGTGGACTTTCTCAAAATTTCTTTAAAAATGGTTGTGTAACCAACCAATGTAAAGTGTTTATTTCTGACTTGGTTCCTATAGTAGGACTAATGAAGGAATACATTGAAAAATACATTCTGATGGTTTGGTTTCTATAAGTGCATTTTTTTCTGTGCATCTAGTATGTTCTGATCAAAATCAAGAGGTTTTGGAAATTATCTTCTTGAGGAACACGCACAAAAATCAGTATCCCTGGAAGGTACAAGACTGTGGCATTATTACATACATGTAGCACAGTTTTTCACACTTTTGACTTTCTGAGCTAAAAATTGTAGTAATGCCGGGAGAATGATTGCTTCTAGTTCAGAAATCTGAAACGTGCTGTGGAGAAATCACATAATTATTGTTTTAGGGCTCTCAGTGTATAGACGTGTTCACACTGGACTTTTTTTGGTCCAACTTACTGAGACGATTGTCGTGGTATGGGATGTGGCGAATATTTCCTGTAAATCTTTTCCCCTTTTGGTCGTCTATTAGGACGAAAATAAATGCAGAAAGGTCATGCAAAGCGCCCTCATAAGTCAATGCGTTGCCAGCTCGGTTAGTTTTCCCATGATATGGGGTAAATTTCCCTGTGTTGAAAGTCCAACTGTGGACAGTGGTCGAGTTTGACCATTTTTTCTTTGACCATCAGCTCAGTAAAACCCATGGAAAAAAGTCCAGTGTGAACACGACTTGTGGTTTATGGGTTTTCTCTGTAGAACCGTGGATTGTAGCTCTATGGTAGAACCATCCATACCTATTATAAGACCTACATGTATTTATAGCAAGTGACATCATTCTATTTGTGGCTTTATGATCTCACTGCCGGATCCCTTCAATTAGCTTAGAGATAGATTCCATTACAAGGGTCTGTATGGTTAGACCATTGAGCCAGTCCTCTGAGGAAGTGTCCATTGGTAATCGGGATGAGGAATTTCCCTGTCTTTAGGGCCTATGTGTCATTGAGAGAAACATGATCCATATTTGTGCATGATAATGGGCCGCACACTTGTGTGTTGACTTTAATAGGTGACATAGGCCATTCAGGAATGTACAATCTACATTAAGGTAACCGTTGTTAAGTATGTATGTATATACAGGTATATGCCTGGCTGATGGTCCAGGGTCTGTTGAGTGAGGCAGTGGTAACACCATCTTTAATATAAAAACCAAACAAAAGTGATATAAATTAATGAACTGCAAAGTGTATGATTTGTTTTTGAGGACGAAGTAGCATGATGCCAGCTGCATTTTCTAAGCACGTGATTAGGTTCTTAAAGTCCTACAATACATCATTTACATGTATTTACACGTGTATTGGTGAGTTGTCATTAACAGGCAGACTTAATTTACATGTAACTTCTTAAAAATGTAATTCTCAGTGTTGTCATCCATCCCATTACACTATATGAAACACATTGTACTGAATTTCCTCTGAGAGAGTAGCATGGACAAAGGTAAAAAGAACATAAGGAGATATTTGTCAAAAATGTTGCTGCAGAGATTCAGAGAAATGAATACATCATGCACACAATTATGAATGTAAAAGGCATTAGTGGAGAAACCAGCGTGTCAAGCAAATGTGTTCCATTTGTTCACAATATGCTGTGGTACTCCAGGGCTCCATATAGGACTGGATACAGAAATTTTAGCCTATTCCACCTTAAAAATTTGTAAGTCACTCAGGCATTGAAAGAGAAATGTGAGGTACAGTGTCAAAATAAGGGCATTTATCTGGAGAAGGGAAAAGAATGGTAAATCAATTTAATTTTATTTTCATCTAAATTTTAAGTGTGAAGAGGGTGCAAATTGATTTACTTTTTTTGAGGGGTGGAGTGTTGATTCAAAGGAGATGGAGAGTTTCATTATTTAGAGATCATCATTTTATTTCAAAATAGTTTATCAGGTCCCCATTTCCAAAAGCCACAATCCCAAAGCCCCGTTGTTAAAATTAAAGTTGCCTCTCCATGTCTCCCCGCCATAGGAAGATTCAATTGTCATTTCAAAGTTTTGCCTCCCAGATTTCAAAATAGGTTAGACTTGACTTTTTCATCCCCAGGACAGTTCCACTATTCCCCTGGGACCCTTCCTTCCTGATAATTAGTAGCAGGAATCATCAGAGTAGATGTGGGCTCCTGACCTCTTGCAGGTTTCCCATTTGAAAACATGCCTTTATTTGTTCAGAAGGATCACCCTGTTTCCTCCTGGTGAGGACACCTGGGGGGGGGGAACAAACAAGCTCATT